GTACAGCCATGCTTTCCAGTTCTGGAATATATTCGCGGAAACGCATGCTAGTGGTTCACATGGTAGTAAACATTACCTTGTAGTCGTCGTGCTTCTCGAAGAACATGCGCCACAAGAAGCTGCGGAAGGGAGCAATGCCGGTACCAGTGCCAAGCTGCGTGGTACGATAACAAATGCAAACAACAAACACGGAACATTTTTTTTTTATGTGCCGGGAATCCAGCTATGGGGGCTCATGGATGCATGCCAATAAACTGACACAAGAACTGCTCACGGGCTTACAATAACGAAGGAAGAAGATGCGGGAGGAGATGGTATCAAAGAAACAAGCGTACCATGATGATGGTGGCGTTCTGGTCAATGGGCATGAGCATCTCCTTGCCGACCGGGCCAGTCATCTTAACCTCATTCCCGGGCTTCAAGTCGCCTGCCATTGAAGTGAATCAGAGGCATCAGCATCTCAATAGCCCACTTCACGCCTTGCTACTGGTTTAGACCATTTTATGTATCAGACACTGGATAAAGACCGGTGAACTGGAAAGTCGTGAAAGTTGCAATACATGGAATTGTATGAATGTAACGTACACAGGAAGTTTGAGCAGACACCCTTGACAGTCTCGCCCTTGTCGTTGACGTATACGAGACGCTTCACGCAGAGCGATACCTGAGAATATTTCACGGGAAGTACAGTCGCGAAAAGTTTAGATACGATGCAGTTCCATCCCTGGACACCAATTTTTCCGAGCAGGATATCCATACACGACGAAATCCTGAGGCACATTCAAGAATTCAATTCTCCAATGACGCACCGTCTTGTAGTCGCCGAAGTCACCGGGGGCACTGCTGGCAATGGAGTAAAGGCGGAGCTTCTCGGGGTTGCCCCTCTTGTCAAGACCGGGGGGGACCACGCCGATGGATTGACCTTCTCTGTAGGGGATCTTGCCTGCACAGAAGGAACATTTTAATGAGAGGAGAGCCACCAAAGAATATTCGAGCAGTTGATGTAGCATTTCGGAGTGGAATCAGAGGGTCTACATTAGGGACAGGTACTATGGCATTAACTGCTCGTGGTTGGTGTAATGGGGACGCTACAACTCGGACGTACCCTCAGTGCTGAACACCATGTGCCAGGTCTCGCCGGGAGCGTCATCGCCGACAATCTTAGTGTTGAGAAGGCACCGGCCAGTGTAAGGGGTCTTGGGCTTGAACAGGTTAACCTGAACACCCTCCTCGTTCTTGCGGTGCTCCTTCTTCTTGGGAGCAGCGGCAACGCTGGCGCGCACGGCGGCCTTAGCGGGCTGAGCCACGCGGACAGCGGCCTTGCTCTCGAGGGAGGAAACGAGGGAGCTGCCGTTGAGGAAGCTGACCTGGTTGGCCTTCTTGCTGACGGCTCCCTGAGCCGACAACCCGACGGCGGGGGTGGCGATCGACATCGAGGTCATGGCGGCCATTGTGGTCAAAGAGGAACTTGAATGCAAGTAACCTCAAAGCTGGCAACAATGGTAATGGTCAATCAGTCACAGATTGACCTGAAAATGAGGTATTTGACGAGCTCAGAGAAAAGTCTCAGAGCGGAAACAGTTTAGCCAGGAACTGGACTGGCTGAAACCTGATATGGTAGGTCCTGCTTGGTCTCTGATGGTGTCGGAGTTGGTTCTGGCGAATGTGAGAATGGGGCTCAAGATTTGCCTTTGGTTCGGATAGAATGGTCGAGCAGGCTCGGCAGGTTCAACTCGACAGCTGGGCTGGAAACACGACCACACAGCAGGCTTGGGTTTCAGATGCGGTCTGCGTCTGGCTTGAACTGTTCGTAGGCGCTGGTTTGGGGATTGAGAGGTTTGGTTTGGCTGTTACCTGATACGCCACGGTGGCATTCTGTCCGAAGCTTTGGGATGATCTTAGCCGTAGAACTTATAGTTCCCAGATGGGGGTTCATCTGTGGTGGTGGATGAGGCATGTTCGCAGGCTCGGTGGACTATGGTGTCCCCGCGTACACCGTAAATAATCCACGGGAGATTGAACCATATCTACGTGGCAAAACAAGTGAGCGATCCAGCCACAACCGACCTGCAAACGTGGCAGTCGGCTCCTCAGCCACTCGCGTCCCACAAACGAGGTAACCAGATCTCTTCGGCAAAGTGGCTCGTGCGAGATGTCGAGATTTTCTAACTGCAAGGTATTTGGGAGAAATATGGAAGATCGCAGCCATACGCGACGTAAACAGGTGCCACAAACAACGGGAGCGAAAATTCGTTTAATGTAAACGTGTTTTCTCCACTGTTGTGTTCAAGTTCACAAGTTCTTGGACTGCTCAATCAGTTTTGAGGCATGGAGTCTGGAAGAGGGTTCAACAGTACATCCAAGCTGCTTCAGGTATGACAACTGCATATGTCGAAATTTGGGGTACAATATATCAGTGTGCATACACGTACAACTTACAGATGCATTAATGTAAAAGCACAAAGAAAACAAACCCTACTGACCTGCTTTGGTGTTGCTGCTGATTTATTCATAGCCTTTTCCGAATACTGCTGCTGGAACAATTCCTGCAGAAGCAACAGAAATACCGAGAAACAGCTATTAATCTCCCGACCATGAAATGTTCATACCTACCACATTTGAGTGATCAAAATGCACAACGAACGGCTGTATGATTCCACCCACCCACCTGTCGCTCCACCCGGTGTAAAGCTCTCTGCTCAAACGGAAGCTGCTCCCATGCTATAACCTGGAAGGTTCAGGAAAGCAACACAAAACAAGAGTGTGATGTGATGGCACAGCAGCTGCGAAGAATATAGGAAAAGAAAGAAAATGCCTTTCCCATTTTGGAATGATATGGTATAAGGCTGTGGACAGCGATGTGAGAACATGGTGAAATTCTGCTGCAAAGGTTGACTTATAACCACTTGAAAAAAAATAGCCTCTATTAAGTGGCCGTTGGATCAACGAGAGCGTCTTTGAAAACTCTTACATGTGCTGCAAAGGAAGCAGCTTGTGTGGAGGACAGGAGTGGTCGCAGCAGTCTTAATAATTCCTTCCCACTGGCTGATCTTGCTGCTCCGCTGCTCTGCCTGCTATCCACAACTGCCCTCACCTGTTCACACTCAGACGAACGTTGGGGAGGGGGAAAGATGTGGGCAGAAAAGGGAGGGAGGGAGGGAGAGGCTAAGTCAGAGGAAGAGTGTTATGAAGTCCCTCAAAGCCACACTTCTCTGCCTGCTCTCCACCACTGCCCTCACCTGTTCACACTCAGACGAACGTTGGGGAGGGGGAAAGATGTGGGCAGTGACCACCCTGCACGATCATCAACCTGCCCTACAGCCCCCCTGCCCAGTAAATACCTCGCCCAGTGACCACCTGCACGATCAACAACCTGCCCTACAGCCCCCCTGCCCAGTAAACACCTCGCCCAGTGACCACCCTGCACGATCAACAACCTGCCCTACAGCCCCCCTGCCCAGTAAACACCTCGCCCAGTGACCACCCTGCACGATCATCAACCTGCCCTACAGCCCCCCTGCCCAGTAAACACCTCGCCCAGTGACCACCCTGCACGATCATCAACCTGCCCTACAGCCCCCCTGCCCAGTAAATACCTCGCCCAGTGACCACCTGCACGATCAACAACCTGCCCTACAGCCCCCCTGCCCAGTAAATACCTCGCCCAGTGACCACCCTGCACGATCAACAACCTGCCCTACAGCCCCCCTGCCCAGTAAATACCTCGCCCAGTGACCACCCTGCATGATCAACAACCTGCCCTACAGCCCCCCTGCCCAGTAAACACCTCGCCCAGTGACCACCCTGCACGATCATCAACCTGCCCTACAGCCCCCCTGCCCAGTAAACACCTCGCCCAGTGACCACCCTGCACGATCAACAACCTGCCCTACAGCCCCCCTGCCCAGTAAATACCTCGCCCAGTGACCACCCTGCATGATCAACAACCTGCCCTACAGCCCCCCTGCCCAGTAAACACCTCGCCCAGTGACCACCCTGCACGATCAACAACCTGCCCTACAGCCCCCCTGCCCAGTAAATACCTCGCCCAGTGACCACCTGCACGATCAACAACCTGCCCTACAGCCCCCCTGCCCAGTAAATACCTCGCCCAGTGACCACCCTGCATGATCAACAACCTGCCCTACACCCCCCCTGCCCAGTAAACACCTCGCCCAGTGACCACCCTGCACGATCAACAACCTGCCCTACAGCCCCCCTGCCCAGTAAATACCTCGCCCAGTGACCACCTGCACGATCAACAACCTGCCCTACAGCCCCCCTGCCCAGTAAATACCTCGCCCAGTGACCACCCTGCACGATCAACAACCTGCCCTACAGCCCCCCTGCCCAGTAAATACCTCGCCCAGTGACCACCCTGCATGATCAACAACCTGCCCTACAGCCCCCCTGCCCAGTAAACACCTCGCCCAGTGACCACCCTGCACGATCAACAACCTGCCCTACAGCCCCCCTGCCCAGTAAACACCTCGCCCAGTGACCACCCTGCACGATCAACAACCTGCCCTACAGCCCCCCTGCCCAGTAAACACCTCGCCCAGTGACCACCTTGGCGAGAAGACGTGATGGTTGCTGAAAGGCAGGGCGGCGGGCCCACGAGTGGAAGATTGCTGCTATGCTCGCTCGGTGATCCGTGGGGAAGCTGGGGCAGGGGGTTAGGGGTGAAAGGAAGACCAGGTGACGTGAGCAATGATGCTGAAAGGCAGGGCGTGAAAAGCTGGGCGGCGGGTCCAGGAGTGGAAGAAGCTGAGCAAGGGGGAAGGAAGACGAGATGAGTGAAAGGTTGCAGTAGAAGTGGTTAGGGAAACAGAGAGAGAGAGGTGATGCTGGAAGGCAGGGCGGCGGGCCCACGAGTGGAAGATTGCTGCTATGCTCGCTCGGTGGTCCGTGGGGAAGCTGGGGGAGAGGGGGGGGGGAACAGGATGAAGTGACAGATTGCTGAAAGGCAAGGCCGCGTGTCCAGGAGTGGAAGATTGCTGCTATGCTCGCTCGGTGATCCGTGGGGAAGCTAGGAGTGGGGTGGGGATGAGTGAAATGAGAGGTAGCTGTAGAATAGGGGAGGGAAACAGAGAGGGAGGTGGTGTTGAGAGGCAGGGCGGCGGGCCCAGGAGTGGAAGATTCCTGCTATGCTCGCTCGGTGCTCTGTGGGGGAGCTGGGGGGGTGACACCGTGACATTTAAAAAGGTTGTGCGGGAGGAGGAAGAGGGAAATAGAGAGGAGGGTATTGTTGGAAGCAAGGGAACTGATTCCTGCCTATGCAGCTAAGTACTTTGCTGCCCTGGCAAGCGGCAAGCTAGTGCCGAATTTTCTGAAAGTTTTCGCGTTGAATGTATTGACGCTGGCATCAATGATGCTCAACGCGTCAATCTCCACAACATAGGTTTTACCTCTTAAGGAAATCGCCAGTTGGAAGCACTCCCTCACTCAGGGTCTCCTCCTCCCCACCACCAACACCCTTCATCTCTCCTTCTCCCTCCCCTCCTTCCCCCTCCCCTCCTTCCCCCTACCCCCCTTCCTCCTCCCCCTCCTCCTCTTCCTGCATCCCCTCCCCTTCCCCTACACCAATTACTACCCCAGGACCAAGATTTCGAGTTGCGACCCATGCCCCTCGCTGCTCATTCCCTCCATCAGGGTATGACGCAGCAGGGGTGCGAGGTTGGGCAGAGGCAAGGGAGGCGACTGGGGCTGTGATGGGTGCACTGCCTTGCCAGAGGAGCAGATCTGAGGGGATCTCCCGGATGAACCGAGACGGCTGGAGAACCTGGTGGAGTGCAGTTGGGGAGGAAAGGGAAACAGAAGGGGAAAGGGAAGGGCGGAAGGAATTCAGTAGAGGGCCATTCCAGAGGAGAGCAACAGTTTGTGCTGATGCGCTTGGGTTGGCTGTGATGGGTGCGTGGCCTTGCCAGAGCAGCAGATCCGAGGAGATTTCGCGGATGAACCGAGAGGGCTGGAGAACCTGGTGGTGAGTAAATGTGGACGAGAGAGGAGAGGAGAGAGGAGGGGAGGAGGACAGAGAAGCTACGTTGCTAAATACGAGTACCGAGTATAATACGTTAGCGTATTATACGCTTGGTATATACGCGGTACGCCAAGGCTGGCGTACTGCTGATACGCAAAAATACGCTGGCGGGCAGCTAAAACTTTTTTTCCCGGGCAGGTATACAAAAACCTGTTTCAGGGGGGGGGTTCAGGCCGACAACAACACATGTCAATATTTTATTTCATAAATATCCAGAAATACATAGTTCATCCACATAATCCCCACCCTCTAGCGAGCTTCCCCACAGCCTATTTCCTTGCGGGGCTTTTCCACCACCACCCCTTCCCCATACTCATCCGCCAGCACTGCATCATCTCCTTCCCCCCCCAGCAGGTCATCCTCCTCCTCCTCGTCCATGTTGTAGCCGCGGGGGATAGGGGCATCCGGGATGTTCCCGGGCACAACCGTGCTGGCCCCATCCTTGTTGTACCAATTGCGCACAACGTTCCAGTTGTGCGCAATGTAAACCAGGTCCGCACACTTGGCGGACCCGAGGCGGTTGCGGCGGGCGGTGTGGACGCCTTCCCACTGCGCCCAGCCACGTTCGCATGAAGAAGCCGAGACGGGCTGAGTGAGAATCCGGCATGCGAGGGTGGCAAGCTCAGGGTACTCGGTGCTGTGCCACGACCACCACTGCACCATGCTCATCTCCCCTTTCTTCACTGCCTCCCTTGCAGCTATGGCGCTCAGCTTGCCAAAACTGCCCTCCAAGTTGATGTAGGCCAGCAATGCCTCCTGCAGCACAAGGGAGGCGCGGCGAGGGGCACCATCCTTGCCGCGCCTGAAGGTGACGTGGTCATAGTGGCGCTCGATGTAGTCCTTGAACACCCTCGTGCACTCCACATCGTTCCTGAAAATTCCCTCCTCCTGGTTGGCCGGATTCAGGATCCGGCCAACCACATGCATGGGGCAGGCAAGGGAGTTGTCCCACCTGTCCTTCACAATCTTAGTGATGTCTGCCCTCTCTGTCCGAGTCAAGAAGTCGCCTGAAGCGTCGAGCTTGTCATTGATGTCCTCGGTAAGCTGTAGCATAATGTCATGCAGCTTACCCATCATGCCTTTCGCGGAAGAGTCCGTGGCCCGCATGGCCTTGAATGGCACCGCCATGAGAGAGGAAAAGAACTCCGCCACCCCCCACCACTCCTCATCCATCACAGCAGCCCTGAATTTCTCGGCTGCAGTCTTCCTATCCTTGTCCCCCGCTGCCCACACCTTCCACTCGTCGCTGAGCACCATCGCCGCCAGCCCACTCCTCACCTCACATAGCCGGGCCATGGCTATGTATTGTGTCCCGAACCTGGTTCCCGCAGGCTTGAGCACCTGCTTCCCCCCCACTTTCTTCATATAGGCACGGGTGAAGTGGTGGTTGCGCACGAAGGTAATCATCTCCCCTCCTTTCTCCACAAGCCCCTTCGCCCATCCCATTTTGCCCACATCTTCCATTAACAGGTCCAGGACATGCGTGGCACATGGCACATGCTCAATGTGCGGCCATGTGCCCGCAATCTTCCGCGCTGCCGATGCATAGTTGCTGCCGCCATCGGTGCAGACCGCCACCACATTCTCCGGCCCCACCTTATCAATGACGGGGCGGAGAAGGCTGGCGATGTACCCCCCCGTCTTCGACTCCATGTTGCAGTCCACGGCCTGCTCGAAAACTGCGCCGGAGTCGTTGACAAGGAGTATGTTGGCCTGCGGGCGGCCACAACGGTCGGTCATCATGTCCGACGACACGGTGACACCGTCCCGCTTCCAGCTCGCGGCAACGGGGGCGAGCGCTGCCTCCATTTTCTGCCGCACTTTCTTCAAGCCCGCCCCTCCAACGTAGCCCCTCTTGGGGGGAACATACCCCGGTCCCGCGCGCGCAAAGCACTGGACCGCGTAGCGGAAGACCGGATCATCCACGATGCGCTCTGGAAGCTTCAGCGCCGAGATCATTAGGCAAAGCGCGTTATCCGCGTCCTCCTTGGCGCACGTTGCCTCGTCGCCGAAGAATTCTGTTATCTTCCCCTTCTTCTCCGCACAAGCAGTGACCGCGCCCAGCACGGAGTCGAGTGCTGCAGCAGCCGCCCCTCGTTTCATGCTCTTGTTTTCCTCCTTGTTTTCGTACATGGCACGCACTTCGTCACGGACTTTCGGGGACACGTCCTTGCAAAGCCTGACAGGGCGTCCATCTTGCCCTTTCCATTTGGCGAGGTGAACTGCGCAGCGAGTGGTTCCGCCCTCAAACTTGAAGCCACAAAACTTACAAAGCTTGGGATTGCCTTTGGTGTGGGGGGGAATAAGAAAATGTTTCAGAATGGGGTTCGAAAGGCCAGCCTCAACAGGCTGCGTGTTGATCGCACTACTAGACGCGTGACCAGAAGCTACATTGCTCGTCGCGCTAGGAGGGGTGGAGTTCGACGCCATGGGGCGCGACTAAGGAACGGTAAACTGCTTGAGGAAAACGGGAGATCAGAGCTCGGGAATGAAATTGAGGAGGAGAGAAACGAATGAAGGATAGGAAGGCGTCAACGAGTAAATGCTCACATGACGTGCTGGACATTTGAGAGGGGTGGTTGGATATGAGAGGTTTGGTGGGGTGGTGTGTGGTTGGGGTGGTGGGAGGTTTGGATTCTGAAATTTGAATTTCAGACGTGGGTTGGGCGATGTGCTTGGTCGCGTAACCAGTCGCGAAGCCCTAATAACCGTCGCATTTTTTTTTCAATTTCGATTTTTTTTTTTTCGCCGGGCTGCCCGCGCGTTTTTTCACGAATTCGAAGCGTATTAGCGTACCACGTACGTACGCAATCGTATATACGTGGTACGCCACCCTACCCAGAGCGTATTTGGCAACGTAGCAGAGAAGTGCTGACGCACTGAAATGGGCTGTGATGGGTGCGTGGCCTTGCCAGAGCAGCAGATCCGAGGGGATTTTTCGGATGAATCGAGAGGGCTGGAGAACCTGGTGGGGTGCTTGGGGTGGAGGGGGGAGAGAGGAGGGGGGAGAGAGGAGGGTGGAGGAGTGCTGATGCATTGGGGTGGGCTGTGATGGGTGTGTGGCCTTGCCAAAGCAGCAGATCAGAGGGGATTTCTCAAAGGAAGAGAGAGGGGAGGGGTGAGGGGAGAGGAAAGAGGAAAGAGGAGAGAAGAGTGAGAAGGAAGTGAAAGATATAAAAGTTTCAACCTGGACACAGTTTCCTCGTTTTATCTCGAATACAACTCAACCAAAAAGCCTCACCTGGTGCTCTCAGCCGCCTCACCTGTTTCTCAGGTGTCTGTCTGAGGGTCACAATGACCAATCGGTGGCGGGCACGTGTCCCACCATTCAGGTGCTGCTTCAGGTGCCTCGACGCTCCTCTCAGCCGCCTCACCTGCTTCTCAGGTGTCTGTCTGTGGGTCGCAATGACCAATCGGTGGTGAGTACATGTCGTGGCCATATAGAACAGTCTTCCTGTTCCGAGAGTAAATGAGCAGGTGATATTGTGCTGCTGTTCAGGTTCCTTCTCACCCAGCCCTTCAGGTGCTTCTTCAGGTGCCTCACCTGCTTTTCAGGTGTCTGCCTGAGAGTCACAATGACCAATCGGTGGCGAGCACGTGTCATGGCCACATAGAGCAGCCGCCTCTCCTCCTGTTCCCAGGGTTGAGAAGTGAGGGAACACATAAAAGATTTTTGATCCATAAATTAAAAGCTGACTTACAAGTCAACTAAACATTCCACGCAAAAGAGATCTGATAGAAGAGTAAACAACAGTGGTCCTTTTTTACCTTTGTTTGTTTTATTCCCCGCTAGAGTGACTCTAGCAAAAGAAACGTCGCAAAAAAGGAAGATATAACCCAAACAAAAACGTTTCCAGCGAATGTGTGCAACCATCTCACCTCCAGCGAAAGCGGTTCTTCCTCTGACCCTTCCCCGCTCGCCCTCCCCGCACTCCCCCTCTCAACACCCCCACCCCTCTCCTCCTCGAATCTGTTCTGCAGGGGCGTCTCCCCCTCGTTGGCGCTCACAATGAACACTGTGTGCCACTCCAGGCCCTTGGACTGGGGGCGGGCCGAGTGGGAAGGAGAAGGAGAAAGGGGGGTACAGGGAAACATGTCTGGGCGCTGCAAGAGCTCAGTGCTCACAATGAACACCGTGTGCCACTCCAGGCCCTTGGACTGGGGGAGTGGGGGGAAGAAAGAGGGGGGGTTGTACGGAGAATCAGGTCTTTGCAAAAAACGCAGCGCTAACAATGGCAACAGTGACGTGTTTGAAGCAGTGTTTTAAGACGTTTCAAAACAATGGCAACAGTGCCCCACTCCAGGACCACCTGGTGCGTCCGTGTCTGTTGATTTCACCTGGTGCGTTGTTCTCTGTTGAATAACCTGGCGCATAAACCTCTGGTGAAACCACCTGAGGAATAGCCGTCCGCCATTCACCTGGTGCATGGTGGTGAGGGTGACCGAATCCTCATTCTCCTTCCGCCTCACAGCATTGTTCTGAGCCTCCCTCGCCGCTACATAGTCCAGAAAGGCCCGCAGCAGAGCAGCACAGGAGGAAGAGGAGGAGGAGGGGGAGAAGAGAGAGGAGGAGGAGAAGACAGAGGTGGGAAAGCAGCTGGTGGCAGCGTCGGCAGCAGAGGTGTTTCTGCAGGTGGTTTCATCGTTGGCGACGGTATCAGGTGGTTTGGACGAGTGGAGGGAGAGGAAGGTGCTGATATCATCGATAAGAAATTGACGGGCCTGGATAGAAGGAGGGTAGAAAAGGAAACCAGAAAGAGAAACAGCAAGTTATTCAGGCGTTTGTTCTTGAAAGCTCCCCAAAACATAAGATCTGCTGCAGTTGTATGAGAAAAGGATCTCAGAAAAAGGGGCTTCTGTAGTAATCAAGAAAACAATGACACAGCAGATGAGAAGATAAGAGGACATTTCAGGCAACTTTCACAATAGCAGCATGGTTTTGCAGCGAATGATAACCATCATGCATTTCGTAGCATAATCAAAAGAATGGGATGACACGCATTTTCTTGCAGCCTTGCACTATCAACGGACATCTCACAATCAGTTTGGGATGATAAACTACCCACTCACTGTGCGCATGTCATCGTCCTCGTTGAGAAGCTTCCCTGAAGTTTCGCTCACTGTTGCACGCGACGAGAATGCAGCTCTCTACCGCAAGTGAATGGGATTAGCAGGGTGGGGCAGTAGCATGGGAGGATGGGGGACGAAGGGGGAGAGGAATAATAACACAGCGGGGAAGGGGAGAGTGAGAGTAGGTGTAGTTAAGAGTGAAAGAGGAGCTGGTGCAGGAAATGGGAAGTCAAAAAATTTGGGGGGAGCGGGGTTGGGGAGGGAGTGGGGAGAATGAGAAGACTGGAAAAGGGGAAATAGAACGAAGGGAAGGATGACGAACCAGGGCAGTGCAAGGCAGAATGATGGAAAGGGAAGTTGCACATTATGTTACTCAGTGACGTCGTGCTTGCTCACCTCAGGAATGAGCTTGATAATAGAGTCGACAAAGTGACTTTTGCACATCATGTTACTCAGTGACGTCGTGCTTGCTCACCTCAGGAATGAGCTTGATAATAGAGTCGACGAAGTGACTTTTGAGTCGACTCAAAAGTCACCTTGCTTGCTCACCTAAGGAATGAGATTGATAATAGAGTCGACGAAGTGACTTTTGGGTCGACTCAAAAGTCACCTTGCTTGCTCACCTCAGGAATGAGCTTGATGATAGAGTCGACGAAAGCCGTCAGGGACACCTCCTGATGGATGCACGCATGGGGGATGGGTGGTGTCGGTACGTGTGGGTGGGGGAGGGATGGATGGGTGTAGTCTCTCGATATAGGTTAACAAAGGGCAATGAGCGTGATGATGGAGTCGACGAAGGCCGCCAGTGACACCTCCTGATGCATGGATGGGTGGAGCGTGGTTGATTTAGTCACATGTACAACAGCGTGTGTGAGGGCAGCAGCAAAGGTACGGTGAGCTTGATTATGGAGTGTACCAAGCACGCCAGTGAGACCTCCTGATGGGTGCACGGATGGGGGATGGGTGGGTGATGTGGGGGTGATGGGTGGTTGAAGCGTGCTTGATGTAGACACATGTACAACAGCGCGAGTGGGGTCAGCAGCAAGTGCAATGAATGGTGAGCTTGATTATGGAGTGTACCAAGCACGCCAGTGACACCTCCTGATGGGTGCACGGATGGGGGATGGGTGGGCTGGCATTGCATAGGTTGCAAGCGATGTAGGTAGGTATGTGTTGATAAAGGGCAATGAGCTTGGTCATTGAGTTTACAAACGAGGTCAGTGACACCTCCTGATGGGGCATGGAGGGGGATGGATGGGTGAGGCGTGGCTGATGTGGTCACATGTACGACAGTGTGAATGGGGGTAGCAGCAAAGGCATGGTATGGTGAGATTGATGATGAAGTCTACGAAGGACGTCAGTGACACCTCCTTGAACGGATTGCAAAGGCATGGACGGATGGTTGATGGGCGGATAACACATGGATGTGTGATGTACGCATGGAGGATGCAGCAAGGGGTGACAGGTGCAGCAGCATGGCAAGTTCAGCAGAACACTGACCAGGGCAAACGCACGACGAGCTGGAGAAGGGCGCAGCAACACAGCACAGACAGGCGCAGCAGCACAGCACAGCACAGACAGGCGCAGCAGCACAGCACAGCACTGACAGGCGCAGCAGCACAGCACATCACTGACCGTTTTGAGGAGGTTGCGAGCTATGCGGATGGTGGTGAGCACAGCGGCACCGGATTTCAGCTGCTTCCTGGGAAGAGATGCATGGGGGTGGATGCATGGAGGAAAGTGGATTGAGGCAGGGCAATGGGATGGGAAGTACGTGGAGAAGGATTCATGAACTGACAGGCTGTCAGTCAATTCCCACATAGCATTCGCACTTAGTCCCAAGGGCAGACTTTTGAGTTGACTAAGAAGTCAGCTTATTTCATCCCATCCCATCCCATCCCATCCCATCCCATCAAGACAACCAAACACCCCACTCACTCACCTTGTGAACCTTCCTGACACTTTCCCTGAGAAAATGGTTTCCGCAGCTTCCAGGAAGCTGCAACCTCTGTCCCTGGCCCTCTGCTCCACGTGATCTGCAGCCTGTTGGGGGAATGGTGGTGGTGGGAAGAAAGATCATGACGGGAACCTGCAGCACAGGCTTCCCGTATCCCAGTAATTGTTCCCGTATCCCAGTAATTGTTCCCGTATCCCAGTAATTGTTCCCGTATCCCAGTAATTGTTCCCGTATCCCAGTAATTGTTCCCGTATCCCAGTCATTGTTCCCGTATCCCAGTCATTGTTCCCGTATCCCAGTAATTGTTCCCGTATCCCAGTAATTGTTCCCGTATCCCAGTAATTGTTCCCGTATCCCAGTAATTGTTCCCGTATCCCAGTCATTGTTCCCGTATCCCAGTCATTGTTCCCGTATCCCAGTAATTGTTCCCGTATCCCAGTAATTGTTCCCGTATCCCAGTCATTGTTCCCGTATCCCAGTAATTGTTCCCGTATCCCAGTAATTGTTCCCGTATCCCAGTAATTGTTCCCGTATCCCAGTAATTGTTCCCGTATCCCAGTCATTGTTCCCGTATCCCAATAATTGTTCCCGTATCCCAGTAATTGTTCCCGTATCCCAGTAATTGTTCCCGTATCCCAGTAATTGTTCCCGTATCCCAGTAATTGTTCCCGTATCGCAGTAATTGTTCCCGTATCCCAGTAATTGTTCCCGTATCCCAGTAATTGTTCCCGTATCCCAGTAATTGTTCCCGTATCCCAGTCATTGTTCCCGTATCCCAGTCATTGTTCCCGTATCCCAGTAATTGTTCCCGTATCCCAGTAATTGTTCCCGTATCCCAGTAATTGTTCCCGTATCCCAGTAATTGTTCCCGTATCCCAGTAATTGTTCCCGTATCCCAGTAATTGTTCCCGTATCCCAGTAATTGTTCCCGTATCCCAGTAATTGTTCCTCTATCCCAGTAATTGTTCCCCTATCCCAGTAATTGTTCCCCTATCCCAGTAATTGTTTCCTGAAACAGTCAAAGCTAGCCAGGGCCTTCTCAGAGGCGCAATAGGGCAACTAGTTCAGCCCTTCAACATGAGTCACTGCCCTCTGTTCACCCCCAAAACAGTCACAGTCTGGAAACCCTACTCAGACGTAGCTACAAAACGGAAGGAACCGGAAGAGGGTATTTCAGAGCATTTCACCTTTTTCGCCTCGTCCTTCTCTCGGCTGAACAGTAACTTCCAGACTCTCCGGGCGGCAGTGTTGTCCACTAGTGCAGGGAGGGAGAGGCGCAGCAGAGCGAGCACATTGCGCAGGGCCTGTTGAATAGCAGAAGAAGGGAGGGCAGAGGGAGGGAGGGCAGAGGGAGGGAGGGCAGAGGGAGGGAGGGCAGAGGGAGGGAGGGCAGAGGGAGGGAGGGCAGAGGGAGGGAGGGCAGAGGGAGGGAGGGCAGAGGGAGGGAGGGCAGAGGGAGGGAAGGCAGAGGGAGGGAGGGCAGAGGGAGGGAGGGCAGAGGGAGGGAAGGCAGAGGGAGGGAGGGCAGAGGGAGGGAAGGCAGAGGGAGGGAAGGCAGAGGGAGGGAGGGCAGAGGGAGGGAGGGCAGAGGGAAAGGGGCAGAGTGAAAGGGGCAGAGGGAAAGGGGGATGCAGAGAGAAGCGCACTGGAGATGCCTTCAGGGATTGATGCTTGAGGGACAAGGAGAGGCGCAGCAGCCAGCACGTTGGCTGCACAATAGCTTCCAGACGTGGGGAAGGGCCCTGGGAAGGGGAATGGAGGAAGGTTGAGGGAGGGAGGAAGGAAGAGGGGCAGAGGGAAGCGCACTTGCATGCATGAACCCCTAATGCCACGCCATGCATGGTGAAGAAAATCCTCCTCTCCCTCACGGCAGCCTGCAATGCCCGGCCGCTTGTAGTGCATGCATGTGCTCGGCATATACGCTTTTCTGTGGTATTGTAACGCACCTTCTTCCTGTAGAAAGCCACGCCATGCACGTTGAAGGGGATCTTCCTCTCCCTCATCGCAGCCTGAAACGCCCTGCCAGTCACCTGCCGCCGATACAGCACTGCCACATCGCTCCACGCCAGGGGGACGCCTGCTGCTGCTGCACCCGTTGCAGCAGTGTTCCCTGCTACTGTACCCTCTGCAGTGCTGCCTGCTGCGCTCCCTGCTGCACTGCTGCTGCCACTGACAGTGCCAACGGGGTTGCCAGCGGTGTTGGTGATGGCGCTGGTGGTAGTGGTGGTGGTTGCAGTGGTGCTGTGCGGTTGAACTCGGTGCATTTGGTGCATGAAGGACATGATTGCATCGGCGACCAGGGCGCACTGTGCTGCTTCGTTGCGCACCTCCACCACCCTGCCATGTGGAAGGGAAGGGAGGAAAGAATAGCGGTCATGTGTGGCTGAACGCGGTGCATTTGGTGCGTGTGGGAAGTGATTGCATCGGTAACCAAGGCACACTGTGCTGCTTCGTTGTGCACCGCCACCACCCTGCCATGTGGAAGGGAAGGGAGGAGAGAAAAACGGTCATGTGCGGCTGTATGCGGTACGTTTGTTTGGTGCAAGAGGGACCTGATAGCATCGGCGACCAGGGAGCACTGTGCCACTTCGTTTCGCACCTCCACCACCCTGCGATGCACGGACGGATGTGGATGGGTAGGGAATGGAGAATTGGCTGGAGACAAGGCCGCTTGAGAAAGGTGCATTTGGTGCGAGTGGGAAGTGATGGCATCAGCGACCAGGGTACACTGCGCTGCTTCGTTCCGCACCTCCACCACCCTGCCATGCATGTACAGACGGATGTGGATGGGTGGAGAACAGTGGGATGGCGACCAGGGCACAATGAGCCGCTTTGTTTCGCACCTCCACCATCCTGCGATGTGGACTGGAAGGGAGGAGAGATTAATGGCTGAACGCGGTGCATTTGGTGCATGAAAGACATGATGGCATCTTCGACCAGGGCACACTGTGCTGCTTCGTTCCGCACCTCCACCACCCTGCCATGTGGAAGGGAAGGGAGGAGGGAATAACGGCACACAGCCACATTCTAAGCATGGAAGGGGGGAGAGTCTCTTGACTAGAGGCCTCCAGTGAAGGCACCAGGGACGTTGCATCTCCTCACCTCCCTGAGACTGTGGATGGGAGGAGAACAAATCGGCACAAATTACTTGACGTATCTCATAAATCTTGAAACTGTCTTGTTAACTAACAAGGATGCCAGACAAGGGAAATCGTAGAAACAAACCCACCTGATCTTCTCCCCATCGCCGTTGTCAGTGCAGAGCTCCTTGGCCGCCCTCCTTCCTGGAAAGTTCTGCGAGATGACAGCACCAGAGGCCCGCACTATGGTGCCCGTGGAGCGATAGTTGCGGCACAGACGCACCTTAGAGGGAGCGGGGTGGGGTGGGGGTGGGGGAGGGAAGGCAGTGGATGGGGAGGGAGGGAGGGGTGAGCAGTGCGTGGTGTTTGGTGCCGCTAAGATGAGATGCATGAACGAGTAGTAGAGGCCCGCACTATGGTGCCCGTGGAGTGAAAGTTGCAGCACAGACACACCTGGGATGGGGAAAGGGAGGGGGGGAAGGAGGGCGGAAAGAGGGAAGGGTGGAATGGGGGAATGGGGAAAGGGGGGGAGGGAGAGCAGTGGGTGGTGAATGGTTGCTGCTCAGATGTATGAGCAAGCAGCACAAGGCACAAGTACTATGGTGCCCGTGCAGCAGTGGTTGCTGCAGCACAGGCACACCTGGAAGGAAACTGCTCTCGGAACATGACAGAATTAACACCTCCTCACTCTGCTCTCACCTCACTCTGCTCTCACCTCACTCTGCTCTCACCTTACTCTGCTCTCACCTCACTCTGCTCTCACCTCACTCTGCTCTCACCTCACTCTGCTCTCACCTCACTCTGCTCTCACCTTACTCTGCTCTCACCTCACTCTGCTCTCACCTCACTCTGCTCTCACCTCACTCTGCTCTCACCTCACTCTGCTCTCACCTCACTCTGCTCTCACCTCACTCTGCTCTCACCTCACTCTGCTCTCACCTCACTCTGCTCTCACCTCACTCTGCTCTCACCTCACTCTGCTCTCACCTCAGTGTGGTCCGGAAACTGCTCTCGGAACATGTCGAAGGAGGCTGCATTGGCTCCGTTGAAGCTGAATATGGACTGCATGGGAACACAGGGCGCGAAACACATTCCCCCCAGCACCGTTGTTTAGCCGAAATCAAAACGAAACAGCACACATGGATGTGACCCTCGTGGAAAAAAACGGTTGCGGTAAAAAACGATTGAAAAGAACGATCGTTTTTTACGGTCAAGTTTGGGAAAAAAACGTCGTTTTTTTGTTAGGCCCAAAATTAAATTCAGAAAAAAAAAAAAAAAAAAAACCTAACAAATCCCCAGCCACCAACACTCTCTGGCAAGTCAGTGTTGATAAGTTTTCTAGCCTGATTGCAATTAAAATAAAATATAGAAAGGTCGCGCCTCGAACGTGGGTCCAAATTTCTGACCCACGATTCCTCTCTGTACTGGGTGGATTCACTTCAACCCACATGCCTGTGCTCCCTCATGAATCCTCCCGCTACCTCAACCCCTTGTGTTGCTTGTGTATAGAGTGAAACCCTTCACTGCGAGTTGTGCGTTTTCCGGAGATCATCGTAACTGTAAATTGTGGTACGAAATTTACGATCGTAAAAAACGATCGTTTTTTTTCACCAAAAAAAGACTAATCAATATTCTCGTTTTATTCCGATTTAAACGATCGTAAATTACGATATTGAAAAAAACGACAACAAAATGAAAAAAACGTCGTTTTTTTGCACCATGTGACACGTTATGTTTGCTTTGATACGACTCTCAACGGATTGGCTTTCCGCGTTTTAGGGAAACATGTTGAAATCACTTTTGAGAATTCTCAAAAGGGAGACATACGCAATCTTCTCAGCTAAACCCTTCCCTTCGCATCTCCCCCACCCACCCACCTGGTCATCGTCCCCCACAACGGTGATGCACCCGTGAGAGTGACAGAGAGCCTTGACGAACGTGAACTGGTTGTGGGAGGTGTCTTGAAAATGTCTGGATTGGATCATTTAGACTGGTCCCTCCCCTCCTCACTCACCTTACAAACCCGTGATCACACCTCCCACTCAGATCTGGCTATTCCCCCCATTCGTTTCACTTGGTCATCGTCCCCCACAACAGTGATGTGCCCGTTAGTGCCGCAGAGAGCCCAGAGAAACGCAACCTGGATGCGCGAGGTGTATGAACTGTCATGAACCCCCATACATCTCACCTGGTCATCACACCCTCAACCCCACCTGGTCATCATCTCCCACAACAGTGATGCACCCATGAGCGCCACAGAGCGCCTTCACAAACGCGAACTGGATGGTTGAGGTGTCTTGAAACTCGTGTGGGCTGCTGGTCCCTCCCCTTCTCATTCATGAACCAACCCGTCATCACTCACCTCAACCACATGTGGTCATCACACCCTCAACCCCACCTGGTCATCACACCCTCAACCCCACCTGGTCATCGTCCCCCACAACGGTGATGCGCCCGTGTGTGCCGCAGAGAGCCTTGACGAACGCGAACTGGATGCGGGAGGTGTCTTGAAACTCGTCCACCAGTACGTGCGTCCATGCTGCCATACATTCTTGCAGCACTGCAAAAGGGATAAAAGGGGGAGAAAATGGGCCAACAAAGTGGTTGAGGTGTCTTGAAACTCGTCCACCAGTACGTGCGTCCATGCTGACGACTTGCATTCCTGCAGCACTGGAATAGAGGAGGAGAAAGCGGTGCAAGGGAGTGATTGCTGCAGGTGAAACTGGTTGAGGTGTCTTGGAACTCGTCCACCAACACGTGCGTCCATGCTGACGCGCATTCCTCAAACACTGCAGCAGCATAGGAGGGGCGAAAGAGGGGAGAAAAGGGGATGCATGGTGTGACTGCAACCCTCATGGACGCAGAAAGGATGCGGGAGGAGGTGTCTTGAAACTCGTCCACCAGTACATGTGTCCGTGCTGCCGTGCACTCCTCAAGAACTGCAGTGTGGGAGAGGTGAAAGAGCGGGGAAAAGGAGTAAAGAGAGGTGAAAGAGTAGTTGAGATGTCTTGAAACTAGTCCACCAGCACGTGCGTCCATGCTACTGTGCACTCTTGCTGCACTACAGTGTGGGAGGGGCGAAGAGGGGGACAATAAGGGGTAAAGAGAGGTGACGAGCGGTTGAGGTGCGTCCATGCTGACAGGCACTCCTGCATCACTGCAGTATGGTTAGGGCGAAAACGGGGAGGAAAAAGGGCAATAAGGGGTGTAGAACAATCACATGGCCTTGAACCTCGTCCACCAGTGCACGCCTCCATGCTGACGCGCATTCCTGCAGCTCTGCAGCATGGGAGGTGGGAAAAGGGGGAGAAAAGGGGATATTGAGGGCCTGTTCATGCGCTCACCAGGAACCAGAACTCACCACTGCCATGTTGTGTCAGCAGGATAATGGAGAGCAGGATGAATTCGATATAGAGTAGTCCAGTCCACTGCAAAGTGTTGCATGCACAGAAGCAGCGCCTCCCCAGACACTAGCATGCAATTGAGAGACTCGCCGTCAGCATGTTGCGTGAGCAGCATGGTGGAGAGCAGGATGAAGTCGTGATAGTCCACTGCACCGCATCGCACTTCATGAATAGATCCCGCGCCTCCCAGGCACCACCACACCACCCAACCAGCACTCACCATCAGCATGTTGCGTGAACAGCATGGTGGATAGCAGGATGAAGTCATGATAGTCCAGTGCACGTCACTTCATACATGGTAGCTAGCAGGGCCACCCCAGGAACCAGCACTCACCATCAGCATGTTGCTTCAGCAGCATGGTGGAGAGCAGGATGAAGTCGTGATAGTCCAGTGCGTTGCATTGCATGATGTATGGCAGTGCCTTCCATTCCACCAAAAACCACTCACCATCACTGTGCTTCGTGAGCAGCATGGTGGAGAGCAGGATGAAGTCGTGATAGTCCACTGCATTGCACTTCTCCAGCACAGATGCATACGCTCGCAAGACCCGGGCCTGGGAGGGGGGAGGGTAGAGGGGGATAGATAGAGGGGCGCAACCACATGTGCCGTACTGCAAACCATGTGCATACCCGCTGCATCGCATAACTTGAGCAGTTCATTTTTTAAACGCCTAAAGAATAGACAGAGGAAACTTATATGCATGGGAAGAAAGACATGCATGGAATAAGGCATGCATTGAAATCGGTCAACACCATTGCAATTCAGCATTAGGAGAGACAAACCCTTACGGCTTCTAGGTTGCCCCGTGCTTCAAAGCTCTCTGCTGTTTGACCCGCCGCCTTGGCCTATGGTAGTCAGACAGACCACAGGTGCATAGGACGTGGGGACAATGAAGCTTGTAGTGAGGAGCAAGCAGCAATTCAGCAAGCAATGCGCATGGGGCCGAAGAGGATGGGAAGAAACAGCTTTGTGCGTGAAACTTTGACTTTTGACTCAATTGTTTGCCATTGGGTGAAGTGGGGATTGGGGGCACGTTGACCGGAAAGGTAAGGATTAGGTAGTATGGCATGTGTGATGGAACAGGAAAGAGACAGCAATAACGATTTTTCACTTGATTGCATGAGTAGCAGATGAGGCGGAAAACAAATGATCCACCTACTAATTTAACTTCCTCGCCACACGTCCTCATTATAATTCACCCTCACTATCACTCCCCCTCACTATCACTTACCCCCACTGCCACTCACCCTCACAACGAACTTGACCCATTTCGCAGCGGCTGCACGACTCTTCTTCAGATCCTGCACCTCCCTCCCCACCCTCTCCTCCACACTCTCTCCCAGTTTCCCTCCTCCCTTCCCCTCTTCATTCTCCTTATTCCCCTTCTCTCCCCACCTGCCTGCTCCTCCCACACCTGCTGTCCCAGCACCTGCTGCTGCTGCTCCAAACGCCCTTCCATTACAGTCTCGACCAACTTGCCTGTCCTTTATCTCCTGTTTCCCTGCACTCCCCTCTCCTCTGCTCGCTTCTCCCTCCCCTTTCACGCCCTTCTCCCCAATTCCAGCATCTTCCCCACCATCCTCAAGTGCCAGCCTAACTGCCTCTGTGATGGCCCTTCGCTGCTGCTTGTGCCCAAACACGAGGAAATCCGCTGTGCGGCCAAACCTAAGCAGGGACGGTTGGTGGGTGGAGGTAGGGGAAGAGGGTGGGGCAGGAAAGGCAGGGGCCGGAGGTGGGTTCGCCAGTGATGGCCTTCCACTACGGCTTGTGCCCAAACACAAGGAAATCCGCTGTGCGCCCAGACCTGGGAGATGGGGAGCGCGTGAGCAGAGGGGTTTGGTGGGTGGAGACGGGGGGGAAGAGGGTGGGCAGGAAAGACACGGGCAGCAGGTGGGTCAGCGAGTGATGACCCTCCGTTGCTGCATGCGGCCAAACACAAGGAAATCCGCAGTGGGTCCAAATCTGTGGCAAGGGGAGTGGGTGAGCAGAGGGGAGTGATGGTGGGCGGAAGCATGACACCTTTACCTCAGAGCTCACTACTAGTCAGCATGGCTCTGGCACGATGCAAGCGCAACGAGTGGAACGTGATCACTGCTGATTTTCCTGCCACCCCCTCTTCTCCCTCCTCTCCCTCCTCCTTCCCCGACCAATTGCACCTCACCCTTTTCGACCATGCCTCGAACCTAACGCAAAGAACACAACCCACTTCTCAGCATGGCTCCTGCACAGCTGCAGGCACAGCGAGTGGAAAGTGCTCACTGCCACTTCCCCTGTCACCCCCTCCTCCCCCTCCTCCTCCTTCCCTTCCTTCCCTTCCTTCCCTCCCTTCTCTTCCTCCTCTTCCTTTCCTTCCTTGTCAACCATACTTCTCGCCCCTCCCTTGCTTTCTCTCCTTCCTTTCCCGGCTCCCCCAGTCTTCTTGCCTGCCGACCGCCTCCCTTGGCTGGCCAGCACGCGTTCTCGCATCTCATTGGCTGCTGCTGTGGTGAAGGTCATTGCGAGGATGCGATTGGCTGGCACACCCACGTGGAGCAGATGAAGAATTCGAGCTACCATGGTCGAGGTCTGGAGGAAGGGGGGAATGAGCGAGAAAGGGGGGAAAGGGAGAGAGGAGGTGGAGGAGGGGAAGAGAGAGAGGAAGTGGAAGGAGTTTTGATGTGCCTGCTGATAACGACACACCCAGGTGGAGCAGATGCAAGATGCGAGCTACCATGGTCGAGGTCTGGTGGAGGGGGCGAAAAAGCAAGGGGGAATGGGGGGAAGGGGCGACGGAGCGACAAAGGGGGAGGGAGAGGGAGAACAGGTGGGAGAGGAGAAAGGATGGACGGAGTTTTGAGGTGCCTGCTGATAGCAGCACACCCACATGGTGCAGATGCAGGATGCGAGCGACTATGGTTGAGGTCTGGTGGAGGGAGAGGGAAGGAGTGTGAGGGGGGAGGGAGAGGGAGAAGAGGGGGGATAGGAATGCGAGGCACCACACCAAACCACACAGGACAATCCATGCCGCTTCTCAGCCCTGCGAGCACCAGGAGTGGTCGGTCCACATCTGCTGCTGCTGCAGGGCCACACTGCACCATACTACACCACACCACACCACGCCGAACCACACCATAGCACACCACACAGGACTAACCTTGCCGCTTCCTGGTCCTGCGAGCACCAGCAGTGGTCGGTCCACATCTGCTGCTGCTGCTGCCCTTTGCTCTGCATTCAACCGAGCCAAGTAAGGCTCCTCCTCGCTTACACACGCTGCTGCTGCTACTTCTGCTACAACTTGTGCCACTGCCTCCACTTTTCTTGCTGCTATTGCTGCTGGTGCAGCTTTTGTTTCTTCCACTTCTGCAGCTACATTTCCTGCATCTCTAACTTCTCCTGCTGCTCCTGCTTCTGCAACTACCACATTGCCTGCTGCTCCTCCACCCTCGCCTCCTCCTACGTCTTCAGAATCTCTATCTAGACATCCCTTTCCTTCACCCCACTCGCCGCCTACTTTCACATGCCCCATTGCCTCACCATATTCCCGCATGCTCGTTTCTCCCACCCCAGTGCCCCCATCCGAGTCAAGCCTTGGCTTCACCACTCTCCACCCCAGAGAACCCAGTGCAGATTCTGCTGCAGCTGCTTCTGTTGTCGCCTCTCTAGCTGCTGTTGCTTCTGCTGCCGCTGTTGCCTCTTCTGGTGCTGCCAATGCTGCTGCTGCTGCTGCCCCTGCTGCTGCTGCTGCCACCTCTGCCATGCCTTCCGCCTGCACTGGTTGCACGCTTGGACATATCCCTGTGAAATTCCCTACTTGCCCCTCCCCATCATCACCTGCCGCAACCTCTGCTCTGCTCGTGCTGTACGCCCGGCTCCCCCCAGGTTCTTTTTCAGGTGTTTCAAACAGACGGCATCCTGGGCCTAAGTCAGAGCCCAGATGCCGCCTCAAGGCCCAAGCACCCTGCCCCTCCAAAGAGATGCCTGCAGCAGAAGCATCAGTGCATGCGCTTCTGGCATCCAACAAGCCTCTACTTCCTGCAACGTAACCTCCACTTGTATATGAACCGCACACTGAACTTGCTGCCGCTGATCCGGCTGCTACTGGAGCTGCTTGTACCGAGGATGCAGGTGCCAGGTTGGGAGGGAAGGCGCGATAAGGGGTTGGTGTGGCCGGCGTAGCATGCTGAAAACCAACAGCAGGTGTCGCCTGCTGTGGAGCACTTGGCGGGGGCACATGCTCCTGCAATGCCCCAGCTTGCCTAATGCATTGCTGTTCCGGAGTGGCTGCTGCATGTCTTGCATGTGTAGGTGTGCTGTCACTCACCAGAGTGGTGAATCTGGAGCCAACTGATGGGGCAGCACAGTGGTGGCGTGGAGGGACAGGCGGCATATGCTGGAGTGTAGTGGCTGGTGATGAAACGCACATCGATGGAGGGGTCACTGGTGACATTTGGCGTGATGTGATTGGACCAAAGGCAGGCACCGCAGGGGTATGCGGGGACATGCCATGTGCTGATGACGTGGCATGTCTACACGATGACATGTCAGCTCCGTTTGCTGACGTGGCTGGAAACGGCTCAGCTGCTGACTTGTTGAATTTTTTTATTGGACGTCTGGGAGATGCGTTGTTGGGAGGTGGCATGAACTTCGGGAGTGGAACGATGGGAGGAAGAGGCATGGCTTCTCTGCGCGTCCCTTCTCCATCTTCCCTTCCTTGCTGCGAATTCGCAGCGCCCACAAATACGGCAGTACAACTCGCAGCAACAGCAACAGAAGGAGCAGCAGACGCACCAGCAGAAGCAGCAGCAGTAGCAGAAACATCTTCTTTCCCACCAGTGACAGCAGTACGGCCAGCAACAGCAACAGCGGCGCTCGCAGCAGCTTCTGCTGCAGCCAATGCTTGCTCAGCTGCTTCCATCCATTCAGCATCAAATCCATCTGCTTCTGCTGAGTCAGCAGCATCAACCTTATCCGCTCGTGCTGACTCATCAACATACTCAGGGAGCAGGACTCCTCCAGAAGCATTAGTAGCATCTTCAGGATTTGGCTTATTAAAAATATTACTCATAGCTTCGGCGATTTTTAGCGAATCGATTCCTCCATGCGACCTGAATCCGCATTGCATCCCGCCACCGATTACTGAAGCGTCAACAGCATTCAATCCAACATTTTCGACGGATTTCAAATCGTCAAACGACTTTAGGTCTTCTGGAAAATCTGCATCTCCTGGCGATTTCAGAGCTCCGGGCGTTTTGCCAGGTGACCCACAGGGGGAGCGGCAGGTGGGGGAAGGGGACGCAGAACGAGCCTGCTTCAATGGCGGAGATTCAGGCTCAGCAAGCCACGTGTCGAGCATCTGAAGCGAGACGCGTCCTCTTTTGAAAGCTCCCAGCCGTTTCCTCCTGTTCAGCTGCTGCTGCTGCTGCTGCTGCTGCTGCTGCTGCTGCTGCTGCTGCTGCTGCTGCTGCTGCTGCTGCTGCTGCTGCTGCTGCTGCTGCTGCTGCTGCCGCTGCTGCTGCTGCCGCTGCTGGGGACATTGGTGTGTGTTGCTCGCATTTCGGCCGTCATTCTTGATAGCAATGTCTACACGAATCGGCGAAGCACTGGATTCATCATCGACGGAGCGCAAGGAGCGGAATGATGCATCCGAAGCGACGCGATAATTTTCTGGACGATGAGGCTGCTCCGCCTCGCGTGAGACACGGCGAAACCCCGGAATGACGTTTCCGCGTTGGGCGCCATCAGAACCGCTAGGTATCGAGTCGCGTGGTGGAAGCGAAAAACTTCCGCGCGGTGATAAGAAACGTTTCTCCTCGTGTGGTTTGGTTCGGTCGTCCCGTAATGGGGGATCATGATTATGAGTATTGCGAGGGAATGGTGTGTCCAGGGACCTGACGGATGGACTTCGGGTTGTTACGAGATTACAGAATCTACTAATTCTTTGGTCATCCTGTAGTCCATCCTGCTCTCTATTAGTGTCCGTTACGGGCTGTCGTCCCGCATTACAAGGACGCATTGGCCATTTCCCCGCAGAGCCTCTCTGCTTTGATCGATCATTACCAAATCCGTCCATCGCCGAAAGCTACCTCAGGGTCCTGAATAAATAACCGTCATGTCGATCAAGTCTACAGGTACCACCTTAAGCTGCTTCATAACCCGGACAATCTCGACTTGGGATTTAGAATGGTAAGACACAAATGATGACACAGAATTTCCTGAATGTGGGAGAACAATGAAGCTTCACGCTGACGCTGATAGTAGCAGACAGACCAACTGCCCAGTGCCATCCCGATTTTCGAGAAGCATGTGGATTCCCAAGGTTTCCAAGTTCACAGACCAGCTAATATCGAGGATTAGTTGCTTGTGAGTCGTCGTACCAGCATATTTTCTCAACAATGCATGTTTATGAAAACGTGCAGTGGAAACAAGCTCCACTAATACATATCTCAAACAACATTTGTGTGCACTGTTGTGTAGCATTCGCACGATCAGTGAGATATCAAAAGGATTAATAACAAATGGTAGAGTCGGTACCTGGCAACTTTTACATCAACACTGTCAGAGATGCACTTGAGATTCCCGATTGATCATAGGGAAGGGTTACATGCGCATTGACTTGGGGGTTACGGGCACACTCACCCGCTACACAAACAAGTCCTTTTATCCCAGTGGTTAGTGGCCGGGATTCTGACATGGTATCAGAGCGAAGGTCTCATGTTCGAATCCCAATGTGCACTGCGGGCATCACAGTCAGGGTCGTCGCTAGCATACATTTTTTGTCTGTTTGGCTGATATTCATACATGTTTTTTTGGATTAATCTGATGGGCCAGTCAGCATCAGACAAAACTTGTTTTTTTTTCCCGGGGGACCCGTCTGATGCATCAGACGTCCCTCAGACCCTAGAGACGACTCTGATCACAGTGCGGGGTGGTGTCAGAGGTGCACTTGAGATTCCGGATTGATCATAGGGAAGGGCTACATGCACGTTGGCTTGGGGTGTTATGGGCGCACTCACCCACCACACAAACAAGCCATTTTATCCCAGTGGTTCCCAGTGGTTAGTGGCTGGGATTCCGACAAACACTACCTATGCAATCAAAGCACACACTAGGCCTAATGAACAATCAGAGTGGACAAACCCTCCTCTTCAAGAACTCAATACAAGAACTACTAATAACATATTCAACAAGCATGGCTGAGTTTGCACATACCGTACATACCGATGCATTCATCCACAAGCACACATACATCCACAAAGGCATGTGCGCATGCACAAACATGCGCACACATGCACAAGAACTGTGCAAGGTCACATAAACATGTGCATTGCGCAAGCATATGTATACACACGTAATAAGCAAACGGCCACAAAAACCAGAACCTTGCTTATTCCAGAACCTTAGGAAACGAGCAAGTCAACTAGTGGGCTGTTTTAGCCAGAGATTTAAATTAGATAATGTAGAACGCCACCATAGATCCTTGCTGACAAGCGATCAACATTTGGCGCTGCTAGGACTTTATCAGAGACGTGTCTTATTGGCGCTCAGCGAAGTACATCTGCAAACTGCAACTGTGATCTGTCAGAATGTTATGTTTTGTCTAGCCTGCAGTGGGGTACTCAATAGTGAGTACAGCCCAATTTAGGGTTTGCTATATGTACTCAACTGCTTGCTAGTGAAACTCCTCTTTTTCTCTTTCTCATTTCTAACTTCCTGCTGTTTCTTAACATGGAATCAGAGCAGGTCGACCCTCACGGGTCGATCCTGTGGATGGGCCCACCCAATGGTTCCGCTGCTTCTACTCTGTCCATCGCGCGCCCGAGGCGCGCACTGCCTGCTTGCCGCGCGCCCGTGGCGCGCGGCAATTTTTCTTCCCGCCGCGCGCTTCGAGCGCGCGGCGGTTTTCTGCCTGCTTGCCTGTCGTGCGCCCCGCTGGCGCGCGACGGAGCCCTGCCCGTCGTGCGCGACGGTGCAAAGCCCGTCGTGCGCCCCGTGGCGCGCGACGGTGCACAGCCCGTCGTGCGCCCCGAGACGCGCGGCGGGTTTCGTCGCCTGTCGCGGCGACCTGGGGGGCCTGTTGCGGCCCCGTCCCGGACCTGCCCCGGCCCCGACTCTGCCCCGGCCCTGCTCCTGCACTGTCGCAGCCCGGCCCCGACCCTGCCCCGGCCCAATTCCCGTTGCCCGTCGCGGCGCCCTGGGGGGGGCCGCGCGCGGCCCCCCCCAGGGTCGCCTCGACAGGCGACGGGAGGGGCGACTGCGGGGGGCCACGCGTCGGCCCCTCCTGTCTTCGTCGCGGCCCTGCCCCCCCCCCCCCCCCCGTACCCTCCCTACCCGCCTTCTACGGCCCTACCCTGTGTTAGGGTTTGGGGGTGGCGAGTGGGGGGTGGCGGGTGTGTGGCATCACCTGCCCCTCCTCCTCCTCCGTCTCCCACTGCTGCAGCTGCCGCTGAGGGGGGTGGATGTGTGGGAGACAATGGAGTGGTGCTAGGGGGTGGAGTGTGAGCAGTGTTAGAGGTGTAGCAGGGGGTGTGTGAAAGGGGGGTGGGACAGTTTGGGGGAGGTTGAAGGGAGGTAGCTGTCGTGTCGCTAGCAGCGCCAGTAGTCCGGAGGCTACAATCTCCGGTAGCCCAGCGAGTAAGTAGTCCGGAGGCTACAATCTCCGGTCGCCAGCTGCGCCAGTCGCCCGTGGGTCCGTTGCTCCTGCATCTCAGAGTTAGTCGCGGAGCCAGTTACTCCAGTAGTCCGGAGGCTACAATCTCCGGTAGCCACAGTGCGTGCCGCTCCTGTTGCCCGTGTGTCTGCAGCTTCAGCCATTGCCTCCTCTCTCCTTTCCTATCAGTCTAGCCTCCTCCTCCTCCTCACTTGCCCTCTGTGACTGCCTCTAGCTTTGCTTATGTTTGTGAACTATAAACTGCTGCTGCTTGTACTTGTGCTCAGAATGTGTGGTGACATTGTGATCCACCCTGAGCTTGTTTTGCTTTTCTTGTTGTGCTGATTACACCCCACTTTGGCTATGGGGGTGTGTCAGAATGTTATGTTTTGTCTAGCCTGCAGTGGGGTACTCAATAGTGAGTACAGCCCAATTTAGGGTTTGCTATATGTACTCAACTGCTTGCTAGTGAAACTCCTCTTTTTCTCTTTCTCATTTCTAACTTCCTGCTGTTTCTTAACATGATCAACACCTGTTACCTGTCAAAGCATAATTATATGTTCTTAGTTCTGCTTGGCTACAGTGAGGTGCTCAGTATAGAGTACAACCCCAATTAGGGTTTACTACTTGTATCTCCCTGTTGCTAGTCATTCATCATTCCTGCACAGATACTTCTAACATGGTTTCAGAGCAGGTCCCTCCGTAGGACAGCTCCGTTAGGGCCCACCAACCCTACGTACTGCCCAAGGAGCTGATGTCGTCGTGCGCTGCCCTGCTCGCCGCGCGCTGCCATGATTGCTGCGCGCAGCCCTGCCCTGCGGCGCCCACCTGGCTTCACTGGGTCGTTTCCTGCGGGTACCCAGTGGAGCCTCCGGCGGCCAGTCTATGGTCTCCGCCAGGCGCCCCGCGTGTGGCACGACACAGTGAGGACGACACTTGCGGCTCTTGGGTTTGCTCCTTCCTCTGCTGACCCGTCACTGTTTCTACGCACCGACACTTCTCTGCCGCCATTCTATGTTCTCGTGTACGTCGACGACTGAGTTTTTGCTACTGCTGACACTGAGGCACTAGCCCTATTGAAGGCGAAACTGCAAGAGAGACACACCTGCACTGACCTGGGTGAGCTGCGCAGCTATCTTGGCTTGCAGATCACCCGGGACAGAGCACGGCGCACCATCACACTGACTTGTCAAACATATATGCTTAGTTATATCTAGGCTTAGTTCATGTGTTTACATTTGTCTAGGCTATAGTGGGTTTAGCCTTAGGGGGTACAGAATTCTCTCGACATTCTACTTGTACCCTTCCTTGTTTCCTAATCGATCATTCTCACCTAAGGATTCTAACATGGTATCAGAGCGGTCTCGGGTTCGAATCCCGGTGTATGCACATGTAGGCCGTTGCCACTGTGCTCAGTCCTGGACCTCCCAGTGTGGGGGGGTGTCAGTAGATCTGCACTGTGGATGCCCGATTGATCCTAGGAGGGGTTACAGGCGCGTTCGCCTGGGGGGTTATGGGCGCACAAACCCGCTACACAAACAAGCCCTTTTATCCCAATGGTCTAGTGGTTGGGATTCTGACATGGTGTTTGTGTAGCGGATTCTGACATGGTGTTTGGTATTAAGAGCAACTAAGTCTTAGGACCTAGTCTCAATGGGCCCACCACCTACTGTACTACCCGTACCTAGCCCGTCGACTTTGTCGCCCGCGCCCGGCCCGTACCTAGCCCGTCGCCCGGCCCGTACCTAGCTCGTCGCCTCGGCCCCGCTGGCCCCGTCGACTTTGTCGCCCGCGCCCGGCCCGTACGTAGCCCGTCGCCTCGGCCCCGCTGGCCCCGCCGTCTTCCTCGCCCGCGCCCGGCCCGTACCTAGCTTGTCGCCAGGCCCGTACGTAGCCCGTCGCCTCGGCCCCGCTGGCCCCGCCG